CTTGTGTGCAAAATGATGGTTGGGAAACGTGTGCTAGATTGGCTATTGAAGATACATTGTGCAACATGATGTGGATTTATTTTCTTTAGTATCTAGCCTGATTGAATTGAGTCACTTGAGGATGTAATATTTGGATATTCTTAAGATTACCTTTGATTGACTGTGCTAATTTTGTTTGTGTGATTGAAAGATGGTGGATGCGATTTTAGTTTTGTTCCAACTCTATTAACCTAGTCTCTTAGTTTCCCCTGTTTTCCCTTAGTCCCACCGAAGTCGTGCTTTTTCCTTGACTTGCTTTCTTGTTCTTTTTTTTTTTTGGTAAAGACTTGCTTTCTTGTTCTTTTGTATTTGATTTTTGAAGAACTACTATTATTGATGATGGGACTTGTGTCTCTTGATAGTCATGCTTCATTAAGCATTTCTTTACCACTTTAGTGATGTATCATCTTTCAACCGGTAGTATATGCTAATTGCTTTTCTCATATTTTTGCTTCTAGCACTTCTGGGTTGCAATATCTATGGTCTTCTGCATTGCTGCAACAACATTTACTCTTCTAAAGCTATGTGGTAATTGGCTTATTTCTCTGCATTAGAACAACTTATGTCCTCCTCTTACAATTGGACTGAAGTGATTCAAGTTCATGGAAATTCATGCCAATGTATACATTATTTCAATTTGTCTTAGTGCTAGTGTTTCTCGACCTATCTCATTGTCATGGGACAAAAATAATGCAGCAAATCATTTTGTCTTCAAATATTATAACGTGTGCTGATTATGTTGGGAGGAATTCCAATCAACGCATTATTACTTGCCCCAATAAAGCCCCTATTTTTTTAATCCCTTATCGGATTTTAATGGTCTTTAACTATTTTGCTTTTTTTGACTTTTTGTTTGCTAAGTTATGGGAACAGTTTTCATCTAACTGAAGTCAGTTGTTTTTGGGACTATACTCGAAGCCTAATCCCACTGAAAAAAGTTTAGCTACTAAGACTACATTCCGATAACTCTTCTGCTCAAAATGTATGACCAGCCTATGTTAGTCATAGTCATCTCTTGGCATCTAGAATCTATATTGCATAGCAGTACATCCTTGGATGATTTTATGCTACAAATCGACATGCTTTAGTATTGAGTATATAAGAGTGCTTTCCAATGATTAATTGGACATATTGCCAACTTCATGCAGGTGATGTTACTGGTCTAACTTGGTGGGATTTATTTATAAATTACGGGTAGAGCTCAGTTAGTTTAGCACTGTAATTGACAAGGTCTCCTTTTCAAGTCCCTTTGCCTGATAAAGTTGATGCTGGGACTTCTTCCACAGAATTGCGGAATGCTTTGCCTTCCTGGTTTGCACTAAGTGGGATAATCCAGCTATTCATGGGCGTTCTTACATAAGAGAAGCGGGTCCATCCTCGATGGCTATCAGATATATTGACTGGGACAGACAGTTAATAGTTTCTTCAGAAGAAGATCAAAATTTCAGAATGTGCAGCAGCTTGCAAGATATAGGAGGCCACATTATGAAAATTCCCATAGTTGTCTTCCAGATCCTTCTGATCATGCGTTTGGAGGTACGTCGTTACATCTTGAGAAGCTCTCAGCTATTCGACATGATACAATATTGTTCTTAGTTGTCATTGGCTATGTGCTGTGCACCTACTAACTCACTTTCTCTTAAATTGTAGGGAACACCTCGTGGTGCTAAGCAAATGCCTCTTCCAGTTGTTTTTGCTCCTCTTCTTCTGGTGCAAGGAGCTGGGCTCTTGTTTGCTGCATATAGATTGATAGAAAAGATTGTCTTTATGTTGCACAGTGGAGCTTGTTCCAGCAATTACTTCCTGATCTCATTGAAAATTCGTGATTGCTTTGGATTTTTGCATCATGGGTCACGGTAATCTTTTAAGTTGGAAAGTATGAAAACCTAATTTATTCGCATAAAGATGCATCTTCTTAAACTTTGATTGACAAGGGTTCAATGATGTTACCAGGTTGTTGGGTTGGTGATCGATAGATGAAGCCAGCCAGCAGGAACGAGCTAGACTTTTCTGCAGTGGCTCTTCTGGGTGTGTATTCCTATTCCATGCAGTCTGTTATCTTTGTAATGTTCTTCATGCACTTGTTTGTTGGTGTTGACTGAGTGACGTGTTGGTTTGTGAGGTTTTTGTTGCACCGATTGTCACTGTTGTCATCACTTTGTGTGGTTGTAACTGCTACAGCATCGCAGTTCCAGAAGCACCTTTAATATGGTTAGATGGACTGATTCCTGACATATAGACCTCTTTTTGCTGTGATTTAGATTACTCACCTTTAGCTTGGATTCTGCAAATTTATTACAAAGATGCTCTTGTAAGTTCAAATTCGCATGGACTCACACAGGTGCAATATCCTCGTGTCTTCACACTAGTTCTAAGGTGGCATTACAAGAAACCCCCCTGTGTGATTTTCAGGCTCTGAGAGTGAAAGCGTCTTATTAGTTGATTTTAATCCAATTGCTTCTGCTAATAATTTGAAATTGTCTTTGCTGGCAAAGCATATACAAGATGAAGAAATGCCTCAAATTGTATTGACACCTTTTAATTTCTTTTTTGTGTTGTTTCCCTAATTCATTGCCTGAACTTTTTCTCATGTATATAGATAGGTATGAACTCACATTCAAGCATGCAGGCCGCCACAGCCACTTACATGTAAACCTCAAAAAACATACATGAATGTGCACCACAACTAACACAAGCTTGTTTGCACATGCATGCTGACTTTTTGTCCCACCCCTCTCCTCCGGGAATAATCTTCTACTTGTTGTTCTTTCCATGTCTTGTTCAGCTACAATACCTTTTCGCCTGATGTTGTGAAGAAGTTGCCTAAGTCAGATCTTGTTAAGGAGGTAAGAAGAGTCTGTTTTCCATGTGATGTAGTCTTACCTGTATCTCATTTTTGTTTTTTCAATTGTAGAATAGTATATTGATTCTTTATGCTACTTTAATAGAATAATATCTATATGTGTGTAGCTTTTTTCTTTTTCATGTTAAAAATTTTGTTGACTTCAGATATGGAGATTACAGGCTGCACTGAGTGAGCAGACAGAAATAACAAAAAGCAGCCAGCAAGAGTATGAGAGACTTCAAAATGTATGTTTTTAGCACCTAGGATGCTTGAGTTTTGTTTTTCACGGCTTTCGCTGAGGGATCAGATGATTGTGTTTTCAATCCAATACTTTATGGTCCAAGTTGATGTTACCATCTTCATTGGCAGTGCAAGTCACTGCATGGCATTTCTGAATGTGTTCTATGCAAGTGTTGGGTAGCAACGATACTACAGAGTGTAGCATGATGAAGAAGATAAATCAACCGAAATGGAAAAAACTGAGTTCACTTGTGTCTCCCTTGAATGAGCCGTGGTCTCTCCAGCACAAATTGATGCTCTTCTGTGTTCGACTCTGCTGCTGATCACTAGGGTCTATGTTCAAAAAAATTGAAAAGAAGTTGTTTATCAAATAATTGGAATTGATGTTCTGGACATAAGATGCTAAATTTTTTGCTTCCAAGTGCCTGAGATATATTCTGTTCAAGATATTCTGGACATACTCCACTTTCACTAATGTAGATGGTGAATTTTGTAGGAAAAGATCCTTTGTAGAGTTTGCTTTGAAGATCAAATCAATGTGGTCATGCTTCCCTGCCGGCATCATGCCCTCTGCAGGTATTTGCTCTTATCGGCCGGCTGCTAGTCATTATATACCAGAGCTTCTAATTAGCAGGCTAGGGGATGATATGTAACTCAGGGTCATTGAGAGATGAGTTGGAAGTTTCGGTTTAGAATGTAAGACATGAGCATGGAAGTTTAGAAGAATCTAAAGTTGGATATGTCTGTTTGTTAACTCCTTGACTCTTAATCTTCTACTCAAAATGACTTCTCCAGCGCTTTAAAATCTCCTGTTCTACTCTGCATCTCCATTTCCTTATCTCTCAAACAAATATATGATCTATCCACCTTCAGATTCTCTCATTTGAAGTAAAAATCTTCCCACATTGAGAATGCATGCAAGGTTCGTGTGGTTTATAACCCCGACCCCACAGTTGTAAAAATCCTCTAGGCTTTTGGAACTGTTGTTTACTGATTTGTGTATCCACATTTCAATGATCGTGTGTCCTTCAATGTGAACTTTTAAGCGGCAAAGAAGAGAAAAATACTTCCCAGCAAATCTTGAGTTTACGCCCGAGCAAACCCGGGATGAGTGTGCCTTTCCGGCGTTGTGACTCTTGTTTGCTGTCATGCTTCGCAGGTCTTGCTGCAACAAGTGTAAGAAGTGTCCCATCTGCCGCGTCCCCATCGAAGGGAGGTTGCCTGTGGCTGTACATGAAGTATAAAATTTTATATCCGTCAACAGACTGGACAATACCAACATCATACCCCCTCGCGCTTGTGATTTTAACGGAGCAAGCGCGATACATTGCGCTGTAGTCCAACTCAAAAATTAAAAAAAACTGTACATATATACACGGGATCATTCTGGACTGGGCGTACATTCTGGGTTTTCCTTTTGTCAGGTAGATTTTACATTCTGGGTTTTCCTTTTGTCAGGTAGATTTTGCATTTCTTATTTGTAGTTCCTAGTCACTTCCGGTTAGTCAATGAATTAAAGGGCCTGAAGATGGCGCAAATTGGCCCTAAAGGCAGAGATTAGTGGGCTAAATTATGTGATTATCTAGTTGGATGGTATATAGGGTTAAATTTAGGTGTGAAGTTCCACAGCTCTACGCAAAGGAGGGGCACGAGCACCGTGATTAATTTATTGATTCGGGAGGTAACACGCTTGAATTGAGGGAAATGAGAGCTTAGACTAGGGTTTGATTTATGGTATATTTAGTTGTCCGTTTTAATCTATGGTTGATGTAGATTAAATAATTTGATTACATGTTAGTGCTGGTTGCCAAAGTTCTCAGATCCCTTTTGGGATTAAGTGGAGACTTTAACAGGAGATAGAGAAGTAAGATTCAAATTGACAAGAACTTAAAATTGACTCCATTTCCGAGTGGTTGTGCACCAGACCCAGAACATGGGATTCTGATAACACAAGTCACATGAACCATGTAAAGCTGCAGACAAGATTTCTTAAACACTTCCTTTCCGGGACAACGTATGAGATCAATGGCAATTTTCTGTTCCACCTAAATCGGGAATAAAAGAACGCTGAGACCGAAAACACGATTATGAACAGGTCGCCGCAATTGCAACGGCCTCCATCACGGGGTTCTGTGCGGTGACTTCTCCTTTGGGATTGACCTTCTTACCCAGCTTGGCGGCGAATTCACTGAAGCACTCGTCGAGTGTGCGGAAGGGTTCTTCCGGGTAGAGACTGGTCACTTCGACGTGGTCGGGGCCATCGATCGAGAAGTTAACTTGACAGCCTTTTATAAAAATGTCGTGAGTGAACGAGGCGACGATGCTTTGCGGTATGCAATTCTCTACATCAAAGTGAGCTAGTAAGGTCTTCTTTTAATCAACATTTCACTTAACCAATTGAAATCTTCTAATTGCACGTTTGGGGGCATTGTTAACTAGGGGTAAGTTTGTACCTGCGGCAGCAGATAAGAGGTCATCTTCGGTGATGGTGATGCGAGGGAGGGTGCGCCCGATCTTCGTCTCCCACAAGGCCGCGAGCTCGTTGATGTTGTACTTGTTGCAAGGCGGTCGGAAATGCACCGACTTGTTCAGCGCCCTGTCGTCGTCCACCGTCTTCATGGTGAACTTCCCGATGTCGGTCCCAGCAACAAAATAAGCTGCAAAAAGCATCCAAAACATATAACCTTCTTAGCTGAGTTGATTGCGTGCAAGAAATTTGACATGTGAACCACCTACCATTTGATTTTGCTCATTAGTTATGATCATGAAAGGTTTTTCGAGGCTAAGATATATATAAAACACGTTTCTAGGTCTTATCCAGTGATCATGTCAACTGGCCTGCTGACTAACTTAAGCTGCGGGCAGTTGGAAAGCAAACGAATAATCTGCTTATATTGGCGCTTTGGGAAGTTGGTGAACTGCAGCTGAAGAACGAACGATTAGTTTTTCTACTTCTCCACCGTTCGATATTATGTGAACCGGGTATTGGCGCGTCACCGCTCCAAAAATCAAACTACAATCCTAAGAAAAGGGTTGCCTCAAAGATCTCTAGGGCCCGTTCGATACGACTTTCTCCAGCAAACAACTTCAGCCGTGAAAGCTGAATGTGGTTGGAAGCATCTGAGACTTAAGAAGCGTGCATTCTTCTCCTACCACTTTCTCCTGCACTTATCCATATTTTCTCATTGTGAATAGATAAATGTTTTATAGATCTCAAGCTGGGATGGGAAGCTACCGCATGCCTAACTACAAGTCAAAAGATCTCATAGCTTCATATTCACTCCATCTATCTAACATGATGATGCTCGGGATGTCTGTCAAACCCGTACGGCATTACACTCATTCGACCTGGACGTGGGCGAGCGTCAGGTTTACGCAAGTGTCGTGTGCTAAATTTTGGCATTCTAGATGGCATAATCTTTCATTATAGAAAGAAAAAAAATCATTGACTAATAACGCTAACCACTACGACCGATATTCACCCTGTCGGCTCGTTCTCCTACGTCGCCTTAACGGAAGAAAGGCCAACAAGACAACACCACACGTTATGTGATCCTCCTCGTACGGCACGAGGGCACATGCACATTGGGATGGAAAAAACCCTCCAAGATGCTGTTGATTCATGCGAGCCTAGTTTAGTGCCGCCCCGGATTTCGTCAATGGCTACTTTAGAGGGACTTGTTAATAAGTTAATCGAAGAAAGCTTTACAGTGTTCAATGTACTTGATTGCGTGGTCCAAATTAATACCTCAAAAGTGAAATTATGTTAAATAAGGTAAATTTAATCCGTGTCTCCTAACACACGTTAACACTTCCTTGACATGACATCCTTTGATTATTCCGCTCGAGCCTAACATTGTCGTTTAATAGACCGGCATATTTGACCGTGCTTAAAAGGGCGAGTCTCCATCCATGTCTCTTTCCTCTAAACGTTTCGTGCAAGTATCCAAATAAAGCCTGCCTACCTAAGTCCCTAAGTCATAATTTTATCAACGACTATAGATTGACACGTGGCAGGAACACAGCCCAGCCCCCCCCCCCCCCAACCGCATACACACTTTCATAGATGTTTATCATAGATAGTACATTGATATATAAATTGTTAATGCAATTCATGATGGTGATATTGTCCACTTTAATAGATGTAATAGAATAAGATACTTGTAACCTAACTTAACTATAATTTGATAATACTTCTCTCTTTTGTATTTGGGGTGATTGATTGCGACCGTTATGTAATTTGTAATCTTTTTACAAATCGTTGACTTCAAATAATGTTAAAGTAAGAACGGGATTCAAAATTTATGAGAAAATGTTTGGAATCTTACTTTCGGCGGGATGGGGCTCCGTTGCTCCGTGTGAGCTGCCCCGTCCCCCCTGATGCGCCCTTGAATCACAGAGCAAATGCCGCGGGTGGGGATGGGCCGGCTCGCCACCCATCCCTTATAAGTGACTATTCGCCAAAGTACCAAGTTTTTTCAAGAAAGTCGACCCTACTTTGACCCGGTCCATACCCTTGACAGTCCGCCTGGCCGGCTCCTTTTTATAAATGACCATTTGCCACATGCTAAGTTCTCGTGTGAAAGTCGACCCTACTTTAATGAGATGCATACCTTTGACGGTCCCATCGCCGTAGATTTGGAACTGGTCCAGCGGAGGGAGCACCTCGGAAGGGTGACGGTTGTCGTAGTAGGGCCAAGAGGCGATGGAGTTGCAGCAGATGTAGGTGTAAGGCAAGCGATGATCCTCTACCAACCGCCTGACCTTGCGCTTTTCTATGTACATGGTGAGGCCCGGCTCCACTGGATCAGCCCTGTCCACATCGTGCCCGAACTCCGACGGCAGAAATCTCTGAAAATCACAGGAGGGAAACATTCATTTCGCCAACCCACCAAACGCCACATACACATTTCCCAACTCATAAGGCAATAAATGATATCAATTATCAAATATCTCGATCTTTTCATTGAAAATGCTAAGCACGGACAATATAATATCTAAAATACCAATTATGCATATGACTACAAAGAAGCTGATGGATTAAAAGTCGCAAAACTTGCCTATTTGGGTCCATGCAATAAATGATATGTGAGGAAAAAGAACGCATTTTACAGTGACATTGACGTATATAAAGGTACTTTAGTGCATAATATGCTAATTTGGGTACTTAAATCAAGGATCTTTTTTGTGCAAACCTTGACGGTACCAACAGCTTTGATGGCCTTCACCAAAGGGAGTTGATCCAAGATGTCCGGGCCACCGACAGCCGAGATCACGACCTCTATCTCGTGCTCCTTGAGTATTTCCTCCATGTGACTCTTGTCGTTCATCAAACCCTGACAAATTCTCAACCAAAAGAGAGAAGACCAAAAATTAGAGGGGTTCTTCGGATGCCGTTTGGTGTTTCTTTCTTTCTGATCAGACGCCGAATCTTACATGCAGGACGATCGCGCCCTTCTTCTGCAGAATCTCGACGGCGCTCGCCCTGGAGGGGCTGCTCGGGCCTGGCCTGACGAGGACGTACGTCGGCCGGCCCGCTTGGATGCTCGCCTCCGTGATGAACCGGCCGATGAAACCGGTCGCGCCGACGATGAGGACCCGGCCCCGGGCTGATGTCGGTGCGGTCATGGTCGGAAGCCGTGGAGACTCGGGTCTGGTTCCTCGCGGAGAGTGTACGAGTGAGACCGAGGTGGTACGAGAGCACGAGGGTGTTTGGTCTCTCAATTCTTGTTGTTGGGTCAGAGAGGAGAACATGGTGTTAATATAGTGAGGCTGCAGTGGCCCGGGGGGGGGTTGGGGTGTGGTGGAAGGGGATTGATGCGCGAGCTCATCTTTGTTCACACATATGGTCGTGTTCCACCTACCTGTCAACAAAGAAAAGCATGCCCTAGTTGTTTGCTGTAGATCTCCATCCTCGAATGATGCTCGAGATTTCGACCCCTTTAATAAAATGAATTACTAGATGATGTGACATAATCATTTGTTGAATGCTAGAATGAGACGCATCTTCTTTGGTCGAAAAGCGAGACCCATCTTCTTTGTTCTGTCGTTTATCATCTATTGTCTTTTGTTGAATTAAATTTTGTGAACGATCTTCGTACGCATCAGCGCGCACACAATTACTGCCGGACGTTTTAATTATGTCAATGGGGAAAATTATCCAGAAAAACCTAAATTTATTATGTGGCTATTAATTCGGTGCTAAACTTTTCAATTATAACAATTTAATCCTAAGTTTTTTGATGATTTGTCAATTTAGTCATTTCGGTCAATTTTAACTGAAAATCGCTGATTTGACGGTCTAGCCAGCGCCGACTGTCCTATATGGCGCGATCGACGCTGACATGAACAATTTTTATAATTTTATGATTTTCTTTGTCTTTTTCTTTTTCTTTTTTCTTTTTGTTTTTCCTTTTCTTTGTTCCCCTCCGCTAGCCATAACCGAGCCTTATTTATGGCCGGCGACCTTCGCCGACCTCAGGCAAGGGCTGCTCTTGTCGACCTCTATGTGGGCGTGTGCCTCCTTTGTTGGATCCAAGGAGGTTGGCCGTCGCTAGCCCAAGCCCGGGTGTCCCTCGCCCGAGGGTGGTCCTCCCCTAAGGTTGGCGAAGGTTGATGAGGCACAGTGTTGGCTGGCGGAGGGAAAAAGGGAGAAAAAGAAAAAAAGGAAAAAAAAACTAAAAAACTACAAAATTATAAAAATTATCCACGTTAGCGTCGGCCGTGCCACGTAGGACGGATGGCGTTGACTAGACCACCACGTCAGCTAGGAGTGAGCGAAATGGACCGATTAGACCGGAAACCACTCGGATTGAACCGGCTGGTTCTGGGCGGTTCCCGGTGCATTGGTGCGGTTCCCGATTCCACGTATGGATGGGCCGGACTGACTATTTTTTATTTTTTATTTCTACAAATATGTAAAATACGAAAAATAAAAACTAAACCTAACCTAAGCTCGACTCTCTCACGCACGGCTTCAATCTTCAGTCTTCGCAATTTGTGAATCACCGATCTTCCTTCACGCCTCCAACTCCAACCGAAACAGAGGACGGTCATTCTCTTTGGCCTTTCATAAAGAGCAGGAGGAGCTGAGCTGAGGCCCTGCTTCTCAAGAACAGACGACAAACCCAGGAGAAAATTGCCCAGCAAAGACATCAATAACCAACCGCACAAAAAATGCGAAAAAGTGAAGAATCATCATCATCATCCATAATGCCTTTGACTACAGCACAAACATAATCATGTATACATGTTGCCCCAAAAAGGCAAAAAAAATATGAATACAAAAGTAAAAATCCCATTCCCCCACATGCCTTTCCCATTCTACACTCGTCCTCAACCTCTCGATCCCTGCTAGAATTGCCCTTCGGACTCAACCCCATTTGCACTTCGCAATGACCCACCAAGCTTCAAGCCGAGAGAGAGCATGAATTATTGTGAATCCACTGGTTACATCGGACCGCCCGGGAACCGGTCCTACCGGTTCGGTTCCCGATTCCTAGGTGGGACCGGCCTGGACCGGAAATCGATCACCCCCAGCGTCAATTACTTTCAATTAAATTTGGCCGGAAGGGCTAAATTGAGAAATTGTCGAAAGATTTAGGACTAAATTGGCAAATCATCAAAAGTTTTAGGACTAAATTATCACAATTGAAAGATTCATGACTAATTTGGGCATTGTACTATAGGCTTATGATTTTTTAGGCAATTTTCCCTTATGATATGTGCAGACAAGGTAAGAGATATTGCTTGTCGATTGCCCAATGCTTCTCGCGAAATTTCCTTTCTAAGATGCTAAGTTTTTTGTTTTTTGGCTAAAAATTCTAAGATGCTAAGTTGAAACCTAATGAAAAATCCCCCTATTGACCTAGGGTTTATTGGCTAATGCCGGCTGACCCATAGCTAAGTTCTCTGATTAGTGCCGTGACTGGTAGCTGAGCAACAAACATCTGAGGAATGGTCCCTGTTTCGACTCCACTGTCTTCGTCTGATGCACTCAATTGCCCTAGCCGAAGGAGGAGAAGCCACCTTAAAAGGGAAGTGCAAGTCTCTCAATTCAATGTCATCACATCAATGTTCGCCATGCTCATCAGGCGGTCGCCTTCATGTCGGTATCTCTAGTGCAGCGAACCTGGTACGCAATCTTTAGCGCATCCGCCACGAGTTGTCAGTCTTCCTTCGTGACTAAGTTTCTATTAATTTGTTTAACGCAGAAGATGTGTGTACGAATGCTATTAACTCTTGAAATACTTTGGCATCCAAAGAAATTTACACCATCTTTTTTCGTTGAAACTACGACATAAATGCCTCGTTATGGTTAGGGAAAATTATTCAAATAGTTGTAAAGTTATTGTGCGGCGATCAATTTAGTCCTAAACCTTTTGATGATTTGAAAATTTAGTCATAAATTTTTTAACGAATTGCCAATGTAGTTCTTCTGGTTAATTTTAATCGGAAATCGCTGATATTGATAATATTTTAATTTTAAAAAAAATTCCAAAATTTTTCATTATTTTCTGTTCTTCTTCATTGAGCCGGCAGCTGAGGGCTGGCGACCTCCGCCGGCCCCTAACAGCCCTCGTCGGTTGCGGGTGAGGGTCGCAACCCTCGTCGGATCTGGGCGAGGGCGCTGAGGCACTCGTTACAGCTGGTGAGGGTGTGGGCAAGGGCCGTGAAGCCCTCACCTCACTAGATCTGGCAAGCGTATCGCGGCCCTCCCTTGCCCAGATCTAGCAAGGGCTTCACGGCCCTCGCCCAGGGACAGCGGCTCCATCACCACGATGAGGAAGAAATGGGAAAAAAAGAAAAAGAAAAGAAAAGAATAAAAAATAATAATAAATTCGATTTTTTTAAGAATTAAAAAATTATCCACCTCAACGCTAACCACACCACGTAAGATAGTCGGTGCTGACTGGATGGTCACGTCAGCGAAAGTCAACGATTTCCGGCCAAAATTAGCCGGAAGGACTACATTAGCAATTCGTCAAAATGTTTAGGATTAAATTGGCACAATTGAAAGGTTTATGACTGAATTAGCCGACGTATAATAAATGTTTAGTACTTTTTAGACAATTTTTGCATGATGTCGAAGTGAAACAATCCTTGAAGGACCACAGAGGCTGATTATTGCCGTCCTACTTTCTCACGAGGTGATGAGTATACGATTCCTTCGGGGAAGAAGTCACACAAGAGAGTGCCCTATGTCCACTTTATGTTACATTGTTTCTGCCAAGCAATCCTAGTCAGAAGCGATACGGACTTAAGGTAGCAGATAAGGGCAATCGCTATGCAAACGATATGAGAGTGCCAAGTCAAGCTGAGTGATAACCAAAGTTTTGGTCGCTCATGTGCAGATGCGTGTTCTGCACCGAAACTGGTGGAACTTGCCACACGTCCTCCACAAATTTCGGGGGTAGGTTTAGGACGCGTGTTACTGTTAGCTAGATCATATGCTCGGGTTTGAAACTTTCCTGAATAACCCTTGTTGCGAAAGCCCAGCGATCGAAAAATAAAATAGACAGAATAAGAAAATAAATCGAACACCAGATTTACGTGGTTCAGTCGTAGTGACCTACGTCCACAGAGAGAGCAGCACGAAATTTCACTATATATCAAGCGATACAACAGAGATTACAACCACACTCGAGTCACTCAAATACTCAAAGTGTTTCTCAAGCCCCAATTACACCCAATAACTCACGCAGTGTTGAGCCCCACAATTCCTCACGAAATAATCTATCACGTCCCGGCCAAGACCGGACCCATGGCTTACTTTGCAACGTCCCGTTCGTTATTATCTTTCTTTACAAGCAAGCGGAAGCATGAATTCGGGACAATCACAACCAGAGCAAACAGCAGGGTTAAGACAGGCATCATAAACAAACCTTATATTTACATGATAACTTATATATTTTACAAGCCAAACCTTTTTACATGCCCCTTCTTTTTACGGGCAGATTCACACACGTATATCCGCTATAACAAACACGGTTAGGTTATGCCTAGCCCTACTACCGTGATTTTCTCCAAAAAGGGTCCTCCAAAAAGTTCCTTCCCAAAACACGCTCGGTCATTCCCAAGTCAAGTTCACCGCTCAGGCTTTGTTCGCGACGTTCCCAGGTGCCGGTCCATTGGCACCACCAAAGGGGCCGTTGAAACCACAAAGGGGTCTAAACAAGCCTCCTTCCGTCCACATATACCACGCTTCATATTTGTGGGAAACAGAATGGTCAAGGCCCTCATCGACCATGACTTAGGAAACCACTTTCCAATAGGATCGACCCTCCTCCAAGTTGACCACATCCAAGACACCCACTACCAGTTATATCGGAACACCGAAACGCACGGGCGGAGTCGCCATCTTACAAGTCTGGGAAAAACAATGGAGATTGAGTCATAGACTCAATAAGTAAATCCTCTAATTTCAAGTTAGAAGGAAATAATTGTTGTCGGACATGAGTCCAACCTTATCGCCCCAAGTGTCGATGACAAATCAATAGCAAAGATGCATCTTACCTTGCCTATTTGCTATACATGGCACACGCACCGACTAAGAGAACATCAAGTATGGTACATAAGCGATGCATGCAAGAATAAACACATGGGATTCATTTATTCTTAACCGAAATCCATCGGGCATCTGAAATCTATATGGCATCCGAAATTCACCTAGCATCTGAAATCCATCGGGCAACATCTCGAAATCCATCATAGACGGCTTTAGTCCATTGTGTGTCCATGCATCACAAGCACCAAGCAAACCATGTTCTTATCTT